TATTCCTAACCAACTTTCAAATTTAGAAAACATCGTACCAATCTGCCTTCCACCTACTGCTTACAACAGCACATCGCGAGCAGTGTGGATTGGTTCAAATGTTGTTATCTCATTTCTGGTCATAATGGTATATAGCACTGCCCATGTAAAATGTCACCGCTTAAGTGGTAATTTCCGAATTCATAGCTGTTCAGAAAGAAATCAATTCCTGCATTAAGCAAAAAATACTCACGAGCAAAGTGTCGAACGCATTCGACGCTTGCTACATTCACTATCTATTGTTATGGGTATCTATATCTCTACGTGGTTTGTTACAGTGCTCGCACTTCTCGTGACACAGGTTATTTGCACAAAAGCTGTTCTACCTAGAAATAGTAAATGTTGTTCGCCATAGATACTCCCACTCGGCCCCAAAGTTGTGAATGAAATCAACCAGCAGCTAGGATGGCTAGTGATTATCAACGCTTCCATGAACTTCTTCATATACTTATGGAGAGCACCTGAATATAGGTAAGAAAAGTTTATTTCATTTTGGCAATAAGTGCAGACCCTTAAAATAGAGCCATCTCAGCTTTTTTCAGGAGAGTCTTTATGTACATCCTTTGCCTGAACAGAGATCGAGCACTTAAAGATGCGACAATAACTATTAGCCCTGCAAGCGGCACCAGCACCGCTTTGAGGAAGTCTTCCACCAAAAATAACGTTCCTGTGCGATGATGTTAACATACTTATGCTTATATATCTTGTTTCTACTGCTCATTAGATTTAACAAAGTGCACATCTTTCTCAGATACTTTATTTATTTATTTTATTTATACACTCATGGTGTACCACTACCAAAGTCGAACAGAAAATCAGGCAACACAAAAAAGACAAAAGATCAGCCAATCCTCAGTCACAGAAGGAAGAAGAATCATGCAGGAAACGCAAGACATATGTCGCTGCCCATACCGTAATGATGCATATGATTGTATAATCAGCAAAGCTGAAGGAATAAGCGCTTTACCCAAGTTCTCCAGAATCTTGCTTCGTCCATAGTTTATGAAGACCCCGTTTTTGGGCTTCAGCGAGCCTCCTTCTCCCCGGTAAAAGCTAGCTGACCTGACCCTGAAGAATACGTTACGAGATACTTGCTTTTTTTTCGTAAATGTTTGTGGGTTCGGCTATCTGGCATTCTTCATAAACATGGGTACTGCTTTGCTTGTTTTGTAGCCAGGTACAGATCTTTAACGAGCTCGCAGCTTACTAGTATGTAGATTAGACCTATGTAGCTCGTTTGCATTGACGGGTTGCGCCCTTAAACCTTGAACAGCATTGTAGTTAATAGACACACCGTTGTGTAGCTTTTGAACCTCGTTATTCCTGAGGTGAGTAACTCTTTGCGTTCTGATGTGTAGGATCTGGTTTCATCAGATCTCGACTAATTGTTTAGCAAGATGGCGCGTTTGGCGAGAATGCACTGAGGTTTTTGACTATTCCAGATGACGAAGGTGGAAATGCCAGTGGAATAAGAATGTTACTATCTTGGTACAGGTTACAAACCATTATTTGTTCATTTGTTCTAATTGGATGCATGTGCAAAGATACATAACTAACTAGATTTTTGTGCACCTATAGCGTTACGAGAACTTCTCAAACGATGCACACTTCAGTCAAGTGATTGTTGCCTAAGTCAGGTGACGCAGCAGCATCAAATCTCGCTCAAATTATACAAATCCAAAGGCACCATACATTTCAATTCAACACGTCGAACTCCGGAGATAGTCGAAGGATACGGATATGCAAGGATAAGTAAGTGCACAAGGGGGCAACTGTGTGAAGGCAACTACTGGTAGTTCACAACGTTGTCTATTTTCAATTGCACGAGTTACTTTAAAAACAATATTTGATTTGCGACTTGATTATTTGTGCGACACATGCTTCAAGAGTTTTATACACCAAACATTTTATTTTTTTACTTTGTATACATTAAAGATTGTCTAGAGTGTTTTTTGACAGCACTGCCCTGATGAACTTGTTTACAAGTTCAAGATGTACATCAAGTGTGAGCAAAGTGGATCCCTTTCACCGAGGTAAGTATCTCTGCAAGGCTAGGCACACGAGGGAATGTATAACACGTGAAACAATCACCTCTTTGTCAAAAGACCAGACATGATTATGGGTCAGATAACTGTTAGCCTAGTAATCTAGGAAACCGGTCTAACATCTAGCCACAATTATCAGTGCATGAAGCGGATAAACGAAACTACTACTACTGCAATTAGTTACGCTATGAGTTGCGAGAAATTGTTGTGTAGCAGCCTATTGAAATCAATTCGAAGTTGTACATACATCGCTTTGTTTTGTAGGACTTCCAAGTCGTTTCTTTTAAAGCTTGAATAGGTGAAGGCTAAACAATAAACTTTGATACTGTTTTGAGCTTCGCATCGGTGACATTTATATTAGGTCATTTCGAAAGTTCTTCCCGTTTTTTTTAATCTGCTACAAAAACGCATGGGATAAATAAGGATAATCACTTTGAGGAATAATCGATGCAGGTTCTTCCACTTTCACTTCATTTTTGTAAAGTCGTGTTATTCATAACGCATCAGAAACAAAGGAGTTGCCGGATTTCAACAGTATCAAAGCTCGATCACTATTTGACACTAATTTTGCAAAGCACACAAACTTTTCCCGCTACGAAATATCGATTTTTGAAAGCGGAGCCAAACATTCACGATTTTTGTGATTTCATCTCCGACATTTGTTGGCATCCGAAAAGTAATTCCGGTTATCTTGGAAAGCCAGCTGGAAGTCCCAAAAAAATTAGCAGTGTAGCACTTTGTTTGCTCTATCCAGCTATTAAGTAAGTTTCTCCAGAAGTGCAAAATGAAAAATGTGAAAAACTGACAAGCTTGGGCATGGTAAAACCATAACAACATTTCTGCAATTATCTTAGTGATCGCAAAAGCAAATGCTTGCCAAGCTTGGTTGTTGGAAAGAGGAAGAAAAACTGTGCCGAATAGTCTTCTAACTATTTGCTCGTCTTTATCCCACGTGTTTTCGTAATAAATCGAAAGCGTCCCCTTTCACTTCACAGCCTTACGTAGTAACAGTTAATCCGTCCAAGATCAACCCTAGCTCGGAAGTCCATAGAACATCGAAAAGCGCCTCCTCGTAATTGATGAAATCGCAGAGAGGAAAAGAGTCAGCAACTTGAAGCACGGTTCCACCGTACAAACAAAAAACAATGAATGAACAGTACGCACTGAAGTGTTTCACCTAGCTTTAGTCCTGTTCCATGAGACATTGACTCACAGTCTTTATATACAGTGACCGCCAAAAAGTTGCGGACAAGCCT